CTGGAGAAATGTTACATCATTTTTTTATGCTGGTATTCTCATCTACTCGAAAGTTCTCTACCAACATAGGAAGAAGACTGGAGTATCATTTCTCTCCATTTCAAGAAAGTCCATTTGTTTAATCGATAATATGAAAGCAACATCATGAGCTAGATAAATAATTGAATATAACAAACAAGTCAGCAGTGGTTTGTAGTAGAGGTCTATTTTTTTAGTCCCGCTCCCGCAAGGTTCTATTCCGCACCCACCCGCTCCCGCTATATATTCACTCTTTGTTCACCCGCTGTCCGCTTAGAATAATTTTCTTCTCGACCCGACCGTTCCCGCTAAATTTAGATCTAGTTTCCATAATCTCGCATTTAAATTTCCGCTACTGAAAGAAAGAGAGGCTAACAAATAAAAGTGTAGTCTGCACAAAATTGTATGTTATTTTATTTGTCTTGTCAAGAGTCTTGAATTTATTGACTTTGACTTGAATTTATATGAATTATCTTAAGACACAAAATTCGTTTAATATTTTATGCAGCACAGTAGGAAAAAAAGAGTCAGAGAAAATAAAAATGTTGTACAAAAATTGTATTTCTTATTTTTATTCGTCTTGTCAGCATACAATTCGTTTAACATTTACAACACAATAGGAAAAAAGTGTTGCAGAGAGAAAAAAATAATGTAGGTTGTAACTTACGACATCAGGATGCTTTCAACATGAGGTCTTCACAGGCCGGATTCAGACTGTTGGCTGTCAGACTCAGATGGAGCGCTGCTCAACATGCATTTCGAATACGCGATGCCAGGAAATCACAAGATCTGTCCGTCCACTACCGCGTTTTATTCGGGAATTTAATCCCACGGCGCAAAAAATCTGGTCGGGTCCTGCGATTCCCGCGGGAATGCAGACCTCTAGTTTGTAGTCTCGTCAAACTTGTTGAGGTTAGAACTTTCAGTTCAGTTCAGAGCTTAACAAGTGTCAGCATGTTACGGGAAAGGCACGTGCTTTGCCTGCTCTGTCACTCATCGACAACCTGCCTGTTCTGTCTGAGGGCCGTATATTTCCCACCAGTACTGCCTGCTCTGAGCATCGTTATGTACATGCTGCGCACAGATCCTGCAAATAAAACGCGTGACGCAGAAAGCATGCGTGCAGCACGTGCATAACAGTCCGAGTGCAGGCTGTACCGGTGGTCAATAAGAATAAAGCGCAGATATGATGTTCTGAATGCAGCAATCTATCAGCGCATTTGGACTTACGACATCAGGATGCTTTCAACATGAGGTCTTCACAGGCCGGATTCAGACTGTTGGCTGTCAGACTCAGATGGAGCTCTGCTCAACATGCGTTTCGAATACGCGATGCCAGGAAATCGCAAGATCTGTCCGTGTGGCAGCAAGCCTAATTGAAAGTAAATAAAGAAGGGCTCTCTGTAATATGGATCATTTGCAATCTGATGCGTTTATTAGAGCTTGGCTGTCACAAGCTTGTAACGTTTTCTGTCATGCGCTGTTTGTTTTCATGACTCGGCATTAGCATTGAGTTCAGAAGAACAGCAGCGGGGTGGATGTCCCAGCCATCTGTCCCAAAGCCTCTTAGAGACCCTAGTCTGACGTCTACAGGCAAGACGATATGAACCGTTAAACGACTGCCAAAGGCAATGCATTAACATTTGCGATTTATTAAATCCGATAATCTAATTTGACATTCCAACTGTTTGATTCTGTTTAGTGTGATTAAGTGCGCCAGTAACAATTGCAGAAGTTGGATTTTTCCCATGGGGATTTTTTAAAAACCTTTGTGTAGGATATATTTTAGTCTACCCCAACTCACAATATTGTTCTGTTTATTATAAATGTGCACTGCAGTTTTGTTGCCCCCTTTAAATGCTTGAGCTCTTGAAAGCAAAATGTTTTCTGATTGGCTGTCAATGATTTTATCGATCAAAAATAGTTCTGAAAGTGATTCCAATGATATTCGTCATTGTCGTTATCATTATAGTCATGGTGTGGTATAGTTATATGCAGTCCAAGAATTAGAACGAGTATTGAATTTTGTGAATAGGCCTTTAAAAGCCATGAACCAAATCAACCAGCTGCAAAATGAAAAACAAAAAGTAGTTTGAGACTGGCTTGCATCATTTGCAGTCCTTAATGAGAGTGGGCGGCACTAAAGTGTGCTTTTGGTGATATTTGTTTGTCAAAATTCTATGATTGGTGGAAATGTATTTAGAGGGTAATGTAGTTTTTCACCAACCAGGAATTCTGCCGAGTGCTTACTTTCCTTGAGTTATCAGAAGTGAAATGATGTCAAAGATGATATGCTCATGACTGACCTCACTTTCAGCTGGTTTGGTACAGAACATGGTTTGTTACGAAACCCAGCGTGTGACTTTCTCTCCCCCATCACCCTTATATGCTGTATTTGTTTTCCATTGGAAAAGACAGAGTCCGTCCTGCTGTCACAATTAACATAACCTTGGTTCTGACATTAATCCACACTGAACAGCCCTTGTTTGTGTATGTTTCATTGCATTCTTTGTGCAATATATTAGTAAATGTAACTACAAATGACCAGCGGATTAAACTTTAAATGCAGACACCAGCTCATATTAACCCCACTTAATTGGATTGCATACTTTAAGCATCATTATCTTAGTATCATTGAGATACTAATATGAATGTTTTATTTTTTTATTATTCTTTTGTGTTTTTGCTTATTGTATTTTAATGTTTTATACATTTTTATTTCCGCTTTAGATCAGTATTTTGTTTTATGGGGCTTTTTAGACTGGAAAAATGGGAAAGCATTGCAAACATCAACATTTCTTTTGTGTTTCACAGATGAAAGAAAAACTATTCTTTAATATTTGAAAAATACAGTACTGGCTGGCGATTTTACACCGTTTCCTCAGGAAGAACTTGTTTTTTGCTTCAGAGAGACAGCTTGAACTGACTGACCTCTGTTTGTCCATTGTCAAGTCTTTTCATGGCTAAACTCACTGTAGGAGGAATATAGATGTGTCTGTGTTGAGTCAGCGGCAGCATGCCAGAGCACAGCATGCACAGTCTTGGAGGTCCACGAATGTTTTGATGTAGAGCTCTGTTTTCGGTTACTCACAGCAAAGCTTTCGTGCAGTTGCATAATTCGCTAAGTCACACCTATAGGCACAGCGCTGATTTATGATATTGAGCTGCGGTTGCTGATGTGTGTTGATGTGTTTTCTCTGCATTCTATCATAGGTTACCAGGACCGGTCTTTCCTGTCTGATTATTTCCAAAACCGTTCTCTTTACTTTCAGAAGAAAGCATGAGCAAGAGTCATTGTTTGTTTTGAATTTTGATTTTTAAATATGCTAGTTCAGCTATGTAATTCTCTATGAAATCTTAATTCTATAAGCCATTTCTTAAGTAGTTCACCTAAAAATGACAATACTGTTATCATTTACTGACCCTCATGTTGTTCCAAATTTCTGACTCATGCAATGAAAGTGGACTATTTTGTCCATTGCCCATAAAGACCCCATGTGATCAATAATAGATCTTGGGGTCATCCGTATGCTGGTATACCCCTAAAAAAATTCACTTTTAAAATGCACATCATCTTGTCTCCTTACAGGTGGAGTTTCAGTATGCAGCTGTACTGAGGATGCTGGCTGTCTTTGCTTTGCTCATGATGGCTACGACTGGTGAAGCGGAGTTCTGCCAAGGCTCTGAGAACTGCTCCAGCTCCAATGGCTCAAAGGACTTTTGCTTTTCGGCCCGGATCCGCAGCACCGTGCTCCAGGGCCTGCCCTTCGGAGGAGTGCCCACCGTACTTGCCCTTGACTTCATGTGCTTCTTGGTGCGCATCACAAGTTTACAATTTTCAGTTGTTGTTCATTTGCCACGAGTTTGTCATTCAAAGTCAACATGGAATCAGTCTTTATTCTCTTCACTTTCTTAATACCTGTTCCTGGTCTTACGCACGATTCAGGCTTTTTTGTTGAATGTTAACCCATTGTAAAATAGAGGTTTAGTCATTGTTATAGGTTGTTGTAGGTAATGGACTTTTTAATAGGATATCCCAGCCCTATTTTCTGGTATGGAACACCCGCTTTTCACAATTCAATCAGTTGCCAATAGCAAAGCAAAGGTTGTTGACTTTAATAGGAAAATGGACACTCAGTGAGCAGCACCTTCACAATGTCGCTTTCCAAAGCCTTCATCTTCCCCGCTTCTCTCTTTTTGAATGAGCTGCCAACCTCCACCCAAATGCTAAAAATATCACAACTGTCAAGAAGCAGTTAAAGACACACCTTTTCTGGCGGCACTTAACCACTCCACAACCCTAAACCAAAAAATCCTTTTCTTTCTCTTCTGTACATTTCCCCTCTGCTCTAGTTTGTTTCCTAATCCAGCGTAATAAACGTGGAATGGTACTGAGTATATTGCTGGTTCTGTGACAAATTGCTTATGCTCCTCTATTTTAAGTCACTTTGAATAAAAGCATCTCCTAAATGCATAATGTATTGCGTTAATAAACAAGTGGCTGAGGATGCATAAAACTATTAAATTCAGTGGACAACACCAGCAGAGCTTTCTGTGAAATTCTGCAGGCCTTTATTATCCACAATGCACATATTTTGGGAAGAATCAGCTATGTTCTTGTTTTCCTGCGGTTCTAAATTTGAGCACTTTAGGAATGTGTGTTTCATAAATGTCACATTTGTAGTGCCGTGATCAGGGATTTGCATATGAATGCATGTGTGGAATGAGATGTGAATTTGATTGTGTAACATGGATATTCTGTGTCTCCAGGTGCTGCTATGTGTGTTCTCTGTCTTGAGGAAGGTGGCGTTTGATTATGGCCGTCTTGCGTTGGTCTCTGATGCCGACAGGTAAAAATTAACAGTAGATTCTCTAATACACCATTCTCTTTACTTTCAGAAGAAAGCATGAGCAAGAGTCATTGTTTGTTTTGAATTTTGATTTTTAAATATGCTAGTTCAGCTATGTAATTCTCTATGAAATCTTAATTCTATAAGCCATTTCTTAAGTAGTTCACCTAAAAATGACAATACTGTTATCATTTACTGACCCTCATGTTGTTCCAAATTTCTGACTCATGCAATGAAAGTGGACTATTTTGTCCATTGCCCATAAAGACCCCATGTGATCAATAATAGATCTTGGGGTCATCCGTATGCTGGTATACCCCTAAAAAAATTCACTTTTAAAATGCACATCATCTTGTCTCCTTACAGGTGGAGTTTCAGTATGCAGCTGTACTGAGGATGCTGGCTGTCTTTGCTTTGCTCATGATGGCTACGACTGGTGAAGCGGAGTTCTGCCAAGGCTCTGAGAACTGCTCCAGCTCCAATGGCTCAAAGGACTTTTGCTTTTCGGCCCGGATCCGCAGCACCGTGCTCCAGGGCCTGCCCTTCGGAGGAGTGCCCACCGTACTTGCCCTTGACTTCATGTGCTTCTTGGTGCGCATCACAAGTTTACAATTTTCAGTTGTTGTTCATTTGCCACGAGTTTGTCATTCAAAGTCAACATGGAATCAGTCTTTATTCTCTTCACTTTCTTAATACCTGTTCCTGGTCTTACGCACGATTCAGGCTTTTTTGTTGAATGTTAACCCATTGTAAAATAGAGGTTTAGTCATTGTTATAGGTTGTTGTAGGTAATGGACTTTTTAATAGGATATCCCAGCCCTATTTTCTGGTATGGAACACCCGCTTTTCACAATTCAATCAGTTGCCAATAGCAAAGCAAAGGTTGTTGACTTTAATAGGAAAATGGACACTCAGTGAGCAGCACCTTCACAATGTCGCTTTCCAAAGCCTTCATCTTCCCCGCTTCTCTCTTTTTGAATGAGCTGCCAACCTCCACCCAAATGCTAAAAATATCACAACTGTCAAGAAGCAGTTAAAGACACACCTTTTCTGGCGGCACTTAACCACTCCACAACCCTAAACCAAAAAATCCTTTTCTTTCTCTTCTGTACATTTCCCCTCTGCTCTAGTTTGTTTCCTAATCCAGCGTAATAAACGTGGAATGGTACTGAGTATATTGCTGGTTCTGTGACAAATTGCTTATGCTAATCTATTTGAAGTCACTTTGAATAAAAGCATCTCCTAAATGCATAATGTATTGCGTTAATAAACAAGTGGCTGAGGATGCATAAAACTATTAAATTCAGTGGACAACACCAGCAGAGCTTTCTGTGAAATTCTGCAGGCCTTTATTATCCACAATGCACATATTTTGGGAAGAATCGGCTATGTTCTTGTTTTCCTGCGGTTCTAAATTTGAGCACTTTAGGAATGTGTGTTTCATAAATGTCACATTTGTAGTGCCGTGATCAGGGATTTGCATATGAATGCATGTGTGGAATGAGATGTGAATTTGATTGTGTAACATGGATATTCTGTGTCTCCAGGTGCTGCTATGTGTGTTCTCTGTCTTGAGGAAGGTGGCGTTTGATTATGGCCGTCTTGCGTTGGTCTCTGATGCCGACAGGTAAAAATTAACAGTAGATTTCTCTAATACACCATTTTAAATGAAAATTAATTGACCATTTCGCACGTAGACCTCTTCTGTAATTACTGTATCGTGCAATAATTCAAATTTGCATTACCGTAATATTTAAAAAGTTATTTTTATTAATGTACAATAAAAAAAAAAACTATAAAACTGTCACGACTGCACCGTTACGGCCATATTCCCAGCGTGTCATACTGCGGCTTCAGCTGGCTGCATTATCACAGCATGCTCTTGGCCCCAATATAACCCCAAACAAACACTCATCTTTCTTGCACTGAGTAACATTTTGTGAAATCGTCAGACTATATATACTCCATTCATCAGTCATGGTTTGGACAAGACCTCTGATTAGGCGAAATAAAAGAGAAAATGCGTTTCTTGTATTTAACACTGCAAGCCAGCAGCATGATCTCAGCAGCTGCATAATGGGTTTAGCTAATGGATTGGTTGTACAGATCTGAAGCTTCTACCTTTCCAAAAGCTCAGCCAGTCTTATTTGATTAGTAATATGACCATGCCTTTCAATCACACTCACATCCTTCGATTTGAAAACTGGTTTGACCGGCATGTAAGTGCACAAGAGATTATGTTTAAGAGAGATCTGATTAATATTCCGAGCATCTCAAACATCATTTTTGTCCTGTCAGATCCAACAGTCACATTTTACTAGGCAGATGTCAAAAGCTGCTCTTGATGTTTCAGGCTAGCACATCTATTTAAAAAAAAGTTATGATTCAGCTCGAGTCAGATCCACTCACTATATTTTAAGACCAAGTCTTGGGTGGCATCTAGCCATTTTTAAGGAGGTATCAACCCTTAAATAAATGTAATGGGTTTTTGTGTGTACGCACCCAAAATATACCGATCTGTTTTGAACATATACTTCCATTAACATTTCCCTGAATTACAACACGTACATTATGACTTCCCAGTTCTCTATTTAAATGTCATAAAAGTTTCAGAGTGAAACCCTGAAAAGTCTGATCATGAAGCAGAGTGCCTGTTACAGCTTGGCAGTGCATTACATTTTTAATGAATAATTCAACAGTTAAATACTGCACTTCTACCATTGTTATTTCATGAGTTTGTCCCAAGGCATTTTCCTAGTTTTCGTGCCTAAAACATGCTTTGGTGTCGAACTGTTTTCTTATGTCACATATTAATCCTGCTTACAAACAGGTCAAGCTGACATTACTAGTTTGAAAGTGTGGAGTTTGTGGTGAAGTAATGTGGAACTGTAAAACTGTCAACAAACCTGGAGCTAAAAAAGTTTGATTTGATTACATGTAATAACTTGCAGTCAAAGGAAATGTTGAATTACTAGTGTCATTGCATCTCAGTTGAGTAATAGTATGTTATTTCATATTTTGACTAATTCCTGTTAAGCATGAACTTGAAGAATTTTTTTTTCCCTCAGCCGTAGGTGGAATCAGCACTATCAACGTCTGGACGAGCAGGAATAGTATGTGTTGGTTTTAAACTTCATCTCTCTCTTTCAAGGACGCCTTGTGTCTGCTTTTTGAATTTACCCTCTGGCATTTCTTCTGCTGTGTGCTCTATCGGGAGAATTTGGGGTGAATTTGTCCACTGTGTACTGTTTCTAACTCTTTTTACTTCTTTCTATTGTCCTTTTTTAAAACGACTTCCTTCCTAGAGTCCATTGGTTGAGGGTTTCTCAAGATACTCATCACATTTACCCGAACTAATCAATATAATTGTGTTTCTTATGGATTGGTGTCTTTTAAAGGTGAATTGTGTCATTTCTGCACCAAGCAAAATTGTACAAGTTTCCAAACAGACTTCCTAAACTCTCCTACCACATTTTCTCCAGCTAAACAGATACTCCCAAACTCACAGCACAAGTTGGACCTCTCTAAAACAAACGGAGCAATGTTTTGCAAGTGTTAAACTCTTCAGAAAGTCAAACTACACATGGTTTACTTATAGTTTCTCTGCATGTTAAACTGCACAAACTACACACTTCACCATTAAATAATATGTTTTCGTTCCTTTAAGCGTGCACTTTCTGGCCAGGGTCTTAGCACCCTATAGGTCGCACAGGGAAGAGGCTTACAGGGAGAGGTAAAACATCCTGTGGTGGCATAGAAAAACCCCTGTGTAACTGGAAGACCTAGTTTTGATGGATACCTGTGATTTGTCCAGTGACTGTTTTTGTCAATTGACAAATGGATAGGATTGATACTTATTCCAAGTGTCCTGTAAAAGTGGTCCTATAGAATCAGTCTGAATATTTGTGAATATTGTAGCCTGAGAATAACACATACATTGGCCCCAATAAAACATGTATGCCAATGCTTTAGATAGCAAACTATCAAACAAAATGGCATTGACAATTTGATTTTAAAGTGAGCACAAGCATCCACCAAGAGCTTGTAACACTTCAAAGAGAAAGGAAAAATTGAAATCGCATCATATGACCCCTTTAAGCTAAATGTAGTTGATATTTTATGTAATGCACTGAAGTTCATACTATGCTTTTGGAGGCCCCTGTATTATCCAGTAGAATTAAAGTAGTGTCGCTGCCCAGTTCTTGATGAGTCTTTCTCTGTTTAACACACTCTGGCTCTAATTAACTCTAAGGCTGATGATACACGGGGCAACTTTTTGAGCAATGTTGCCGTCAACGGGCAACTGGGTGAGACACAGGGCCAACGACCGATTTAAAGTATCCAGATAGAAATTTGTCACCCATTCTCAATGGAAAAGTGAGAATGGATTTTTCAATTCTCAAAAAAAGTTGCCCGGCAAAATTGCTCAAAACGTTGCCCCGTGTATCATCAGCCTAAATGTATGCTTTCTCTCTGCATGTTCTTCTCCTTTCTAGGTTTACTGCAGTCTCTTTGTGAACAGTTTGTGTGCAACGCCTCTCATCAACTGCCAATGCTAACTCTGTGTTTGAGTTTTTCGCACAGTCACTTTTTGCTGCATGCCTGACATGTGGTTAGCCTTGATATGGCCTGATGTAGCTGGAGTAATCTGAGCTTGGAAGGCCTAGCAGTGCCCATCATTTATTAATAAGCTGACATTGAATGGACCCTGTGAAGATGCTAAGATAAAGTGAACAATTATTAAAAGATTAGTTCATCCAGAAGTAAATTTTTTGTCATTTTCCAAAATCTATAATCCTGATTGTAATTACTGCTGAATGAAGTGGCATGCCATTAAGTGACTGTACACTTCTGTGTTAGCTTGCGTGCTGTGCTCTGAGGGCACGTGTTTGATAATGTGTGTGTTTGTGTTCAGTGTGGCCTCCGCCATGCAGACGCCTGCTGACTCCCGATACGAGCGTCTCACCTCTGTGTCCAGCGTCAGATGGGGGAGATGATAGTGGGGGGGACTGGTTAGAATCTCCTTGATGGCGAGGAACCATTTGGCAATTTAGACCCCCATCCAAACGTAAAGTCTCTGACCAGAACTGTAATTTATATGCAAATGTCAAAAGGCTAAAAGGGTCTCTTAAGCCATAAAACCCCAAAGATCATGCATGATTCTACGCAGACGCTACACCTTTGTCTTCCTTGCTCACATATTCACTCATGTTCACACAGTTTGAACAGCCTACGCAGGAAGTATTTCCTGTCATCTACTATAGCTCTATCCCCCTTCATGCACACACACCTGTGGATTTCATAATAGCACACAACGCCTTTTGACAGCCATTTGTTTGCCTAACCCCCTCCCCTGCTGTGATCTGGAATAACTGCACTTATGTAAACCGGTGTCACGTGCACCCACACAGCTTCTAACAACTCCTCAAACTGCATTAGAGACTGTTAATGTCTCTGAATGTGGAGGTGGCTGACAGACAACGGTTAGAGTGCATTGAACGTGATGTTCTTTTCTTTGTCTCTGTAATAGGGCTTCTGTGCCTGGCTAACTGCCATCTTCAGGATAAAGTGAGTCATTTCTGCTTTTCCTTAATGAACATACTGTAACTACTGAAATGAAGACTTCCTGATTATCACAAAAACCCCAGTACATTATAACCACATTTATATGTCAGCAATTCCCAGAGTCCTTTTCAAATTAGAAGGAATGAGGAAGTAAAATGTCAGTTTCAGTTATATAAGAAGATTATCATATATTGTTTTGTTATATTATACAATATTCTCTCTGTTATGCACTGTAACCAGATTTTCATCAAATATTTATAGTTTATATTGTGAACTAAATATTGTGCTTGTTTAATGAAATACTACTAATAAATTTTTTATTATTACTTATTAATTTTTTTTTCTATGGAATAGAACATTTAAAAATTGTTCTGATTTTTCTTTTTCTTTTTCATTTTTTTTTTTTTTAAGTGATGATAATGATACATGTAAAAAGCAAATACATTAGTGTTGGGTTTAAATTTAATGTATATTGCTTCATGAAAATGGTATTTACCCATGAAGTCTGAATGAAATGGCATCAGGCTAAAAATTTTAATGTTATGCTGACATACCTCTCTCACCCTTACAGAGATGACGAGATCAGGGAGAAGTGTGGTGAAGATTCCGTGCACTACCTCTCATTCCAGCGGCACATCATTGGTGGCTAACCGCCATCTTCAGGATAAAGTGAGTCCTTTCTGCATTTACTTTATGAACATACTGTAACTACTGAAATTAAGACTTCCTAATTATTCCAACTGTGCTAAAACATCTCATTGGATTGCTGATCATAAAACCCCAGTATATTAACGCATAACCACATTTACATGTCAGCAGTTCCCAGGGTCCTTTACAAGTTAGAAGTAGAAGGACGCAAGATAGATACTACCATTCCTAAACACCGGAGCAAAATTATTTCAGTTGTTATATAAGAAGATTAAAGCTAAAAGTTTAGTATTATATTATATTATACTATATTCACTGTTATGCACTGTAATCAGATTTTCATCAAATATTTCATTTATAGTGTTTATATGGTGAACTGAATATTGTGCTTGTTTAATGAAATATTAATAGATTATTTTATTATTATTTATTAATATTTTTTGTTTTGTTTGCAAAACTGAACAGACTAGAATAGAACATTTTCTTTCTTTTTTTTTTTCTTTTTTTGAAGTGATGATAATAATAGTAAATGTAAATCCGAAGCAAATGCATTATAGTTGGGTTTAAAGGTATATTGCTTGTTTTAAGGTATATTGCTTTGTGAATATGGCATTTACCCATTATTCAAATGAAGTTTAAGACAACTGGCTAAAAATGTTAATGTTATACTGACATATCTCTCTCACCTTTACAGAGATGATGAGATCAGGGAGAAGTGTGGTGAGGATTCCGTGCACTACCTCTCATTCCAGCGGCACATCATTGGTCTGTTGGTAGTGGTGGGCGTGCTCTCCGTGGGCATCGTCCTGCCTGTCAACTTCTCAGGAGACCTATTAGGTGAGTCAAAAAAGTTTGAGAAGGAGTCATCTAGGATTGCACATCTGAACGCAGCCATTTGAGTTTGGCTTCCTGTCGTTTATATGACTAAAGATTCCCTATGATCTTCTCTTCCTGCAGAAGATAATGCCTACAGTTTTGGGCGAACTACAATAGCCAACTTAAAATCTGGGTAAGCCCCGGGTAATATCTGTGACACTGATATTACTCTTGAACGACTGTTGATGAATGAATCATCCCTTTGTTTTCGCTCTCTTTCAGTAATAACCTGCTGTGGCTGCACACTACATTTGCCTTCTTCTATCTGTTACTGACTGTGTACAGCATGAGAAGACACACATCAAAGATGCACTACAAAGAGGACGACTTGGTGAGCGGAGACAACTTCACCAAAACACTGCACAGAAATGTTCTGGGTTCAGTAAAAGTTCCTATCTACAGCATATTTGGCATAATGTCCTTTACCACATAAAATAATCAAAGCTTATGATATGAGCATCACATTTCTGATTTTAAGCCCTCCAGAATGCTGGCCCATTTTAAAGGGGTCATATGATGCGATTTCAAGTTTTCCTTTCTCTTTGGAGTGTTACAAGCTGTTCGTGAATAGATAAGATCCCTAAAGTTGCAAAGACTAAAGTCTCAAACCCAAAGAGATATTCTTTATAAAAGTTAAGACTGGTCCACGCCCTCCTAAAACGCCTCGTTTAAACACGCCCCACATATCTACCTCACTATGTGGAAATATTTGCATAATGCGCCCAAATGTGCACGCAAAGAAAGAAGGCGTAACTTTATTCTCGCTGT